GAGGAGGTCAAAAACCTCCTCGATCAGTTTTTTGCCAGCAAAGACCAAAAATTTTATGAGCGTGGAATTATGCTACTACCAGAAAGATGGCAAAAGGTGTTGGACCAGAACGGTCAATATATAATTTAATAAAGTATTTGTTTATTATGCGAAAACTGTCTTTCATTTCCACAAAAAAAAAACGAAATGACTTTCCGAACAACCCTATATATAGTTTTCGAGCTGAAGACCTTATGATGATGATGATGATTATTATTTAAAACTTGAAACTTTATAAGTATTTTTTCGTTACGAGTTTCATTTCGCTAATAAGAAGTTCATAAAACAAGAATATTATTAATACAAAATTTAAAGCGACCAAAAAACACGTAATAATCAATTAAATTACTGCAAATCGTTTGTCACATGCCTTTTACATGTGTACGTAATATTCGAAGTACATTTTGTTGTTATGAATTAATTTTTGAATGGAAAACAACATTAGATCTCTTCGTTATCTCTATAACATATTTTGTTGCGCAGTGCCTTTTCGTGATATGGAAGTAGTAAATCCTTGAAAGGACAATGATCTTTACATATGTAACAATAATTTCGGATGATTTTGATAATTTTAGCATACTATGATATGTATTTCTCAAGTGTGGTAAACAAAGCAAAAATAAATTAATCAGATAAAATGCGATAACTTTTTACCGCGTTCGTAATAAAAGTTATCGTTACGTTATGGTAATAGTGTCTTACATTCTGCTAGAAAATAAAAACAATAAGAATTACTAATTTTTATATTACAAACAAATAATATTTTAATTTAATTTCTTTTTCAATAAAATATGATACTCTCTAGTACCTTATGGAAATTTAATTGGGAAAGCAAACTTTTATAGAATACATTACATACATAAAACGAAGTCAGGGCCTGTAATACTTATACGACCGTTTCGCTTCCTGTTGTGGAGCTTTTTCAAGTTCTGTTTCAATGGTTCGGTATGTGCTATTGGTTCATTATCTTTTAGTAGTATATATGAACATTAAGTGCAACAACACAATATAAATAAAACAAGAAATGATCATCATCATAAGGTCTCAGCCCAAAGACTGATACGACAAAAACCTCTATTTCTTCTTATCTTGAGCCAATCTTCACAAAGTAGAGCAACATCTTTATGTGCGAACAGTAAGCTAATCTACATCTGCCCTTCTTAATTCCTTGTTTCTGCTATATGAGCTATAATCTGATATATTTCTAAGAGGCCCTTCATGACTGAGAAGATGTTCTTCTAACCTATCTCGGCTATGTCTCTTTCTAATACTTCCTCGTGTCTAACCTTTTCTATCTACTTTATCATCAACACCTTCCTGTAACACTTTTCTATAAATATATATATATAAATAATCAGAAGTGGCTGATTTTAGTTATCTAGGAAGTCAGATAAGTCAGGACGGAAGGAGTAGTAGGGATATAAAGCAGAGGATAGCGCAGGATCGAGTCGCCTTCAATAAAAATAAGTCACTTATATGCTCGCGATTAATTTAGAAATTCGAAAATGATTGTTAAAGATGTATGCCTTGGAGCGCTGGTAGGGGTGCGAAATATGGACAGTGGGCGCGGCGGAAAAGAAAAGCATTCGAAATGTGGTGTTATAGGCGAATGATGAGGATAACGTGGGTAGAAAAGGTTAGAAATGAAGAGGTATTAAAAAGAAGAGGAGAACAGAGGACTCTATGAAAGTCAATAAAAACTAGGCGAGATAGGTTGGTAGGACACCTTCTCAGATATGAAGGTCTAGTCAGAGACATATTAAAGGCAGAAATGGGAGTTAGGAGGGGTAAAGGTAGACCTAGATTAGATTACTGTTCGCAAATAGTTAAGGATGTGGGTTGTTCTAGTTTTAGACCGAGCGGCATGGCCTAGAGGTCTAGACCATTGCTTAGCATTCGGGAGGACGCCGGTTCGATTCCGGTTCCGTCTGCCTTGGTCCAAGTTTTTCTGTGGTTTCCTTGGATCACTTAGGCAAATGCTGAGGTAGTAATATTCCACAGATAATCTTTCACTCTCTTCTGTCTTCATTTCGTCCGTCTCATCTTTCTCACCCGAACCACCACCCACCCATTCCCACGATTCCTGAAAGCAGATTGAAGAGGGCCTTCCACCCTACCTACCGGCATAGTCTGAAGGGACTGTCCGCCCACCAGCATTACTGGCTGGTGGGAATGAAACACCCAAAAGTTTTTTCTTTTTCTAGTTTTAGGGAAATACGAAGTTTAGCTCAGGATAGGAAAGAGTGGAGGTACGTGTCCAACCAGTCTTAGGACTTATGGTGATGATAAATAATCATAATATTATAAATGCGAATCTGAGTAGGTTTGTTTGTTTATTACCTTTTCACACTTCAACTACTCAACCGATCATCATGAAATTTTGTGTACACAATGTCAGTGGTGCAGAAAAGGACATACGGTACATTTTATCCGGCAAAAATACTGTTCCCGAGGAATAAAAAATCGATGATCTTCGACACGTATTTAGAGCATCAACGCGAGCGAAGCAGCAGGGCTGGTATATATATATTATCGGAAAAGGAAATAACAATAAAATGAGAATATTTATAAATGCTATCCAATAAAATCAAGATTAGGTGCAGGGAAAATATCAAGAATAATTTTATCATTTTTCACTTTGTGGACGAGTTTCTCCCATGATATGGTCACTCAGTAACAAAATTTGAAAAGACAACTTTGAACTGGCTACATCTGCATTTGAAACACTTTTACTGCGAATAAATTACTAAATAACCAAAATAGAAACTTCTTCAACCGAAAAGCAAACGTACCAAGTATGAGTAACCTACTGATATATTGAAATTACTTCATTTAAATGTTGTTATACACAGGATTGTCATATATCAACCAATCAATAGTTAGCGTTCTAATACACATACGAGATTCCGAGAGGTTATTGTGTTATTTTGATAAAAAACATAACGTTACTTTGTCTAATTTGAAAACTAATTATCCTAAACTGTGGCAATGACACAAATTGGGTTAAGTGTATTGCGATAATGTAATAATGATGATGTGCTGTATATCGAGGTAGTCAAAACAACCGTAAAATTAAGAACATTAAACTTGTTTTCTCACAGAGGAAATAGGAATAAACAAATGCACGTGTTGCCTTTTTCTTCATTGGAGCACCTCATTGTTTTGTTTGAGTATATTTGAGTGTCTACTTGAGTTAAAAATTTTAAATGTGCACCCATAAAATTGTTTCAATTTTTTCTTCCAAACTCAAAGTCGCCAGCATTATTGATTTTTTTTATTTTAAGTTAATTTTTGACGTTCAGTAGAAGACTGACACACACGTCGTTTAGACAGCATCTTTGATCAGAATTGCATTATTGTTTGTACATGCATAAATATTCACCCATAGCATGAAGAAATATACAAAATCGTAATTTTGGCAATCGGTAGACATAGTTGCATATTTGTAACTACTTTTTAATTCTTAACAACTTTTCTTTATAAGGATTTCTACTATTTTCAAAAGTAAATGTACTTTAGTGTTACACAAGTATCATATTTTGTGCTAAAATTTGTATATGCCTGACAAATTATTAAGTCTCATGATGTCACTATGTGATTCAGAATCATGATGCAGGATTTTTTATAAATAATTAAAAAGTAAGATAAATAATAAAAAAGTTTCCCAAATGCTGCTAACTTAAGTAGAGACACTGTATATGCATAAACACACAATCAAAATCAAACCCCTTAAAATGAAATAGGAATAAACAAATGCACGTGTCAATTGTCTTTTAATTCATCGGAGCACCTCATTGCTTTGTTTATGCTCACGAGAAAACTAACAAATCCGTAAAAAGTGATGTGAACATAAAAAATATATATGCATAAACATACAATCAATATCAAACTCCGCAAAATTTCCTTACTAATTAATTACTTAAGTCACTTTCTATAATTTATCTTAATTTAAGGCGATTGTTTTAAAGCATAATGTAAACAATGTTAATTCTCGTTTTAATTATGGAATTTAGCAATTCATTTGATAACTGAAATCAGTGTTTACGAAAATTCCTTCCATGAGTGTATAAAAGTTAAAAAAAAGATACATTAGAGAAAATTGCGTAGAAAAAATAAAACTTTTTATCTTCTGTGTTGTTTTATTAATAAAATATCTAGTAATTATAACAACTTATTATATTTTTATAAAAGTGTAAATTATAAACGATACATCCTAGAAGTTAATATAACATACTAAAATTACTAGACACGCGAATATAGTAAGATATATTCATGATCTAATAATAATGAACCTTAGTTAATAATATGTACAGCTTAAGTTACAAAAAGATACATAATTTGTACATCTTGATAAAGCGCATCCGATACCAACAACGAGAAATTCATTCTTTCCTACCATTATCCGCCAAGTTACATATATGCGTAATTATTATTTTTCAAATGCAACAATAACATTATAATTATAAATAAATATGTATCATTGTGTTCATTGATAAGAACTTCATCGGTCGGATGAATTCGAACAAAAGTGCATCAATGCAACGATAACTCTAGATTACATTCAAATAAATAAAAACAATTGTTACAGAAGAAATTAAAAAAAAAGAAACAAATCTTTCGGTTTTCTCTTTCTTATTTTTCCCTCTTTCTTTCTCTCTCTCTCTCTCTCTCTCTCTCTCTCTCAATTACACTCACACTTTCTCTTCAACCCTTTAATATATTCAGCCGAACCTCTCTCCTTTGAATATGTTCTTTTTTTTTTAATAATTAAGAAATCGGTGCCGCCACAGGTTGTGGAAACCTGTCCTGTTGCCTTTGTACGAAACCGATTACATTTTTAAAAGGAAGCTGCATATGATAGTAGGCGCAATAGGGTAATGGATCCCAGATCGCGAAGAGTGCTTCCCGTTTGTCCAATACCGTACCGATCAAATTTGTTACAGCTTCCACACTCGGATTCCGTAGCGTACTCATGAAGGCATCAGGCATGCAGTATCTGCCACTGTCGCAAACCAGCGGTCCCGAATTTTGTCGACTGAAGTGTTTGCAAGGTTTCCAGAGCAATCTGGGATGTACGCTTGTGTAACATATGTAAGGCAACGACACCCCGACACGACTGCTCAGGGGTAAGATTGAATTGTTATTTTTCGTTTTAACGAACTTAAAAGAGATATGCCCGGTGATTGGTCGCAGCAGGTGGATTTTGGAAAAGAAAATATTCAGCCATTGGGCGATTTCTTTACTTTCGATAGGTATCAATCCGTTACTTTCTTTATCGTAGCGGCAAGTCACGTTGGCTACCACCTGGCTGTCCTTAACGGTTGTGCAAGTCAAAAAGTGCTCTCCTTCGACGTCCTGGACCACAACCCAGGGTTTTACTTTGCTGATCTCAAACGGTAATTTCAATTCGTTTCTCGACACAGGTAACACCATCTTGTTTCTCTCTCTTAATCCGCTAGGACCTACTGTTGACATAATATATTTGCCATCCAGTAAATCACCTCTTTCGTATAATTTAATCACTTCCTCCTTAGATTGGATTTCATGATATAGAGGAGTAGGAATGTTTAGTTTTTCGCAACGTTTCAACACCTCCAGGATGTCATCGAGTGCCCAGACTTCTTTTATTCCGGGACAAAAACACGAACAACCCAAGAGTTCCAGATGAGGTTTTGCTACAGCATCGTAATATGCAGACGTGGTAGAACTTACCGGAATATAATAAGATGCTTCCTCTTTCTCCACAATTTCACATAGAGCTCTCACGTAATGCTGCTGCTGGTCGCTAGTTGGTTTAGGAACCGTATAAAACTTGGTAACGGCGGTTGAGAAGCGTGCCAAAGCAAAGAGACCTTCCACTTCACATACCACGACTCTGGCACCGGCTGAGTAGAAGTTTCTGGCAAGATGCAACGCTTGAATCGTGCTTCCTCCGCTGATAAGAACGGTTCTCTTTTTTCTAAATTTTTCTCTAGGAGAGGTGAGAATTAGAGACAAAAAGAATTTTATAATCGTAATCGGGAACTGAACGATTTGCCAGAAAAACCAGATCCAAACGGAAATATACAACATCGGAATGGCACACAGAATCTGTCTCCAAGCCAAAGGAACGATTCCAACAATCACGGATTTTATGATTCTCAACAGGAAGCACGGGTACCATCCTATGATGCCCGCTAGAACGGATATAGAATCTTCTTCAGGTAGCAGAGGTATTGGAGATTGACTTCTGCTTCTTGACAACTCTCGGTGGTCCGAATGGATTTCAAAGGGTTCGGTGATGATCTGGCCCGTCGAAGTAACGCGGCGTATTCTTCTTTTTTTCAGGGTGTTTGTCGGAGACGTGGAAATGGGAGAAAGGCACATGGGGGAGCAAGGGCTATGAACAGCCGAACCCCCATTACTACTACCACTGCCACTACAACCACTGCTACCGGCGACATTGACACTTTCACTGCTCGGCCACGTGCGTACACCGTTCTCGGTTGAAAATTCGGGCATTTTGCCAATTGAACAGTATTTTGATTTTCAAACTTAAGACGTTACTATGGACTAAAGAGACGACTGGTCAACGGAGTAAACTTTGATAACGGATCGCTGTCTTTTATATCGTATCCTTTGTACTCTGGCCCCAGTCGATGGCACCCATCCCTTCCCCTTAAGTGTGCAAACCGTTTTCTGATATGTAATTTTATTGGCTTGTTCACATATTTTGCTAACCTTTATAACTTCTCCTCGTTCTTATCTTATCGGACGTCTTATTTAATTACTTAGTCTAGGTAAGTGATAAATGATAATAGTAAAAAAAATTTCAGTTTGTCAACAAGAAAGAAACGTAACGATAAAGCCAGACGAGCTGTTGAAATGATACACTCATCCACGAGGTGAGACGCGTCTTTTACACAGGCGGCGGTACGTCGAATAGTAAATGCTTAGGTAACTGTTCGCGGTATTTGTAATTCAATACGTTGTTTGAGGAAGTTTGTCAATATTCTGTATTATTAGAAAACTTTTTTGAAAAACTATTAGGTGCACTACACTAATTACCTTCTATTAATTTTGGAAGCTCATTTGAGAACCGCAAGAATAGCTTAGTCACTAGACTCTTAATTTTCGTTTTTTCAAGTTGAAAAGTTGCGACACACAGTCGTAATTTGCCCCTTTGGTATTTTTTTAAACCATATTCAAGGAAAAATGAAATCATTTACAATTTTAATCCCTAAATAGCTAAATTACTATTTTTAAACAATGTTTTTAGTCAAAAGCAATAAAAAAAGTAAGTACCACTTTAAGAAATTGTTTAATAAACAGCTTTGTCTAGATACTTATATGATAGAGCTACCTGCTAAAAATCATTTAGGATATGTGGGTAATTTCTGAATTCAATTTAAATAAACGCCAAAAGTCGTTACGTCTCTTGATTGTTTAAATTGGCTTTTGCTTAATTACGTTAATTATAGAACTTTTAACCCGAAGTGTATGTTATTATATAACAAAACAATTAAAAAATATCATCCCATGATGATAATAAATGTTAACAGAACAAAAACAATGATTACTGGACGAGCCAAACATCTTTACATTTCTTTCTTTTAATAATTATCAAGAGTAACAATGTTGTATGTGACTTTGACTGAGGAACAAAATTAATTGGAAAATTAACTTCATAGACACACACAAAATTAAATCGAGTATCGTGTTAAGAGCAAGTAGTAACGACAATGCCATTAACAATTCATGATATAGGTATTTTATCTTTTTTTTTGCAAATAATTGTTTACCATTTTTATCAGTACCTACAAATATCTGAAGTACCAAAAATAAATAAATAAATAAAACAAATAAGTCAAGTGCAAATCAAGCTTGCTTAATTAAGATATATTTCTGAAAGAACATAAAAAAATAATCATTAAAACGGCAGTTTTTTAATATAAAAGCTCTAAATCAACGTTTTTCAATTTCAACGATAAATCATCCATTGAATTATGTTATGCAACCTTTTGTACATTCTCACATTGTTATGGCCACCCTTTTAAACTATTTGCGCTACCGCAAATTGTTAATGATTACTTTTGTGTAATACTAACACCATATAAATTATTGGTGAAAATAAATAATTATGTCAAGAAAAATATACTTACACAATTTCAAATCTTTTTCAGTATTAAATGACTTGAATATTTTTAAATTTGTGTAATTGTTTATGATTACTGGACAGTTATACCCATTATCCTTTTTTAGTCTTTAAGTTTCAAACAGGTTGTTTTCTTAATTTTGAATATTTGATTATAAAAAAGCGGACGTGATTTTAAACATGGATACATAATTTACGATATGTTTACCTGTTTACCTATCTCATTTATAATTAAGTTTATTTAAACAATATTTTCACAATATTGTGACAAATAGAAATACACGTGTTGTTTTTAAAATGCCACTTTCATCTTCACTATGCATTATGATTCACATAGGTAACACTTTATCTTTAATATTTGGCCATTCTGCAGTTTATTAAAATTGTTGATTGGTCATCTTATCATTAGTGTGCATAAATTTAAATATTTACTACTAAAATTTTGAAATTGTTGGATCAAATTTTCCAAATTTCTTTATTGATAATGGAGAGAGAATATTTGTATTCGAGTTATTCATCATTTTTAATAAATCATCAATTGTAATCAAATTGGTTTCAATAAAAAAAAAATGGGCAAAATGAAAAGTTATGCACTTAAATATATGTAATATATACCGTTATAATCAAATTCATAAGTACTGTATGAAAAATTCAAGTTAAAATAAAATAAATTCGAAAGATTAATTCAATCTAATTTTAACGCTTATAACAGAAATATGGGCATTATTTGATAAATATATAAAATAAACGAAAAAACGGCAATTCAAACAAACATTTCAAAGCAGAATAAAGTTTAAGAGAAAGTTATAGATCAACAGGACTTACCCATTAATCCTTTCCAAGAATTTTCGCCAACATTTTCTTCTTGTTATCCATACTTAAAATTGTGACCATTCTTGCTATCTTTTCACTTTCTTACATTAAAATAATTTCTCTGCTTCCAAAGTCATTCCGGAAATTTTGTGCTTTATCTTCTGTAAATAAAGAAATTATGTAGATTCAACTCGAAAAACTTTAAAACAATTTTTAAATAATTTATTTTTTATGTTGGCAACACCATATTCTACATACATTTAAGCGTTTTTAATGTTTTTAGCTCTATGTTTTACTTTATAACTGCTGCTAACTTCACGCAGAATTTACAAAACCAGATGTTTTATAAATTAAGAATGTTAGGTACGTTTTTTAAAACAATCCCACTATTCCACCGAGAATTTCAAATATTAATTAACAGTGACATAAACACAAGTTGAAAATTAAACCATTGTTGGTTTAGCTTTAATTAGGCATTATTGTACTTACATGTAAGTTGAAATTTAACCTATAAATTTAATAAGTACCTACAAATGACGAATAATATTTAACTTCTTAGTTTTACCAATACCAAGTGATTAAAATTAAAAACAAAATGTAGCACATGTGCTCGGCAATTTTCATTAACACACCTTGTTCCACTTTTTTAGTTGCCTAGCATTGTGGTTAGTTTAAAATGTAAACAAAAACAAATCAACATCAACTATACTGTAGAAAGAGATGAAAAATATATGGCGCGAATTTGAATTGAAAAATGGATTGCAAAGAAATTACAAAACTTATCAAAGTTAAACATATCTCAGAGGATATTATAAAAACACCAGAAAATGTGGAAAAAATAATGGAGCTAAATTACTTGTTAGGGCAAATACAAGGAAAACTTTTACAAAATGTCCATCACATAATAATTTGCAGTTTTTATCCTATATTTAAAAAAGCAGCTGAAAATAAACAAAAGTTTGTATTTATATAATTACAGTGATAGGTTAAATGATGTTCCTTTTTAGTATAAAACAAGATGTAAATGCTTCTGTAGTTGAAACATTAACAACTCTGTTTGGAAAAATTCAAATTGAAAAAATAGAGATATTTTTAAACATTTATGGATACCTTTTAAATGAAATATATGATCCAAAAGTAAAAAATTGTGGTAAATTTTAAAAATATTTTTGTTATGTTTACCGTTATTAATATTGTGATTGTTTGTTGTTGCAGTTGCCCTTGTACATGAAGAATATAAATTGCTTCTTGTGAACTGCATTACTGCCCTAACAAGGTGCTTAACATGGGACGTTATCACAAATCTGTATACAAAAGTACATGCACCCAAGTTGTGTCAAATTATTTATGTTATAGTCGAAATAGCAAAAACAGAACACTTAAGAAAGTTGAGGTATTTCAAGTTAAAAATATATTTTTGTGTATAATTACAAAACAAACTTTTTTAAGGATTTCTGCTATTAAATGTCTTATGACTTTGGCAAGAATAGAAGATTGTGATATAAGCCAAGAAGACGTTGTTTTACAGGCACAAGTAGCTGATGTTTTTATATTTTTTCTTCCTGGAATAGCAAGTGGTTTAAAAGACATTGCTCTTGAAGATGAAAAATTTGGTCATGCAGTTGTTGTGGTAACATTCAAATAATGAAATAATTTAAGAGTAAAATTTATTTTTGAAATATTCAGGAATCTGTTAAAGCATTTGGTAGATTAGTAACATTGATAATGAAAGATCCTAATAATCCAGAAGAAAAGGTTCAAATCAATCTTCAACTTAACATTAATAATAAATTTAATTGTACCAATAATGACCAACAGTTACCAAAAAAGAAATGGACTAATGAGAAAGAAGTTAATGACTATTTACAAAGTATGAAACGAGATGAAAAATTTTTCAAGGAAACTGATTCAAAATTGCAATTAATTGTTAAAGTATTAAGAAAGCTAACACATCATTCTCACCCGCGAGTTAGAGAAGAATTATCAAATATCTGTAAAGGATTTGTGCAGTATTGCAGCAAGTATGATATATTAAGAATGAGATATTACTGAAAAGTATCTTAATTAATTTCATTTTTCAGTACAATGACTCTAAGTATGTGTTATATTACTGAAATTTTGATTGCACTATCTGAAGATGAATACAAAAATGTATCAGAAACTGCTAAAGAAGCACTAGAAATTTTATCAAGAAATTTTAATTCTAATTCCTATAGGAAGATAGAAGAAAATTTGGAAGAAAAATTCTATGAGATGACCACGGACTTGCCCAGAATATTCAACAGTTTAGGTAAAAGGCAATATATCATATTAAGTTTTTACTAAAAAACAAATTTAATTAATTCATAATTTTAGAGGAACAACAACAGTTGAGTGCCCTTAATATGTTAATTGGATATCTTCGACTTTTTAATAAAAATAAATTAGTTCACATTCTTTACTCTCAAGCTCATTTACAGCGATTACTTTTAGCACTAATTAATATTACAAAAATGGAAACAAATGAGATAACACAATTAGAAGATTTCATACTGGATGGTATAATGGCTCTAATTGATATACCTAGTAGATTAAACAGTTATTGTAATTATAGCCTTTGCTGATGAAACGAGCAGTACTCACTTTTTGCCAAACTTTAAGAAATTTAAATACATACAAAATGAAAAGATTGCTTCAAAACTGACAGAAGTATGCTCGTTACTAGCAAATGAAGATGTTTTAGATATTGTAAGCGATTCACTGATAACAATAATTCAAAATAATGAAGAAATTAAAGAAGCAATTTATCTTTTAAATGAAGTCCTTTTTGGTGATTTTACAAAAAATTATGCATAATACGATAGCTTTTATAATTATTTAAATTATGTTTAGGTATAAAGGACAAAACAAGAGTAGAAATATTTGAAAATGTGATAACAACATATTTGGATCCTGAATATTGGGATCTTCCATTACACACCATTGATAGTGATGGAAATAAGCATTCGTTGGGAGAAGTGCAAAATAATATTTTACAAGTTTGTTTGTTAGCTGAAGGATTTGGTAAAATAGCCTCAAGTTTAGGACCTAATATTCAACAATTTCTTCTGAAAATTATGTATCCAATTTTAGAAAGAGCAGGTAATTACAAAATTTAAAAAAAAAAAAGTTCAGAAGATACAAATCTATGCAGACAACCGTTTGAAATATGATTAACATAAACAATTTAATGTTAATGCTTTTATGTTAATTTTGTACACTAATTTGAAAATTGAAAATCTATAAGTATGGGTACAATTTAATTGCTTTTAGGTTCTCCTCAACCTTTAGTGAGAAGAGTAGGTTTGGAAAGTTTAAAGAAAATTGCAACAGCCTGCGGTTATAATACTATAACAGACCTAGTTAACGCAAATAACGATTATTTTTCTTACCATATAACAAGGAAATTTCAAAAAGTAGGAAATGACGAAAATGCTCTAAATGTTTTATGTGTTGTTATGCAGCACAGTAATATAGATGTACTTCCGTCAATTTCTGATATTATTGAAGGAGTAAGAAATATAATAATTTTACATTTAAGCAAACTAACGATGCATTTTTTCCAGATATTAATTCAAACATTTGATAAATATTTTCAAGAGCAAAAGGCGGAACACTATTTGTATATTTTTAAAACGTTTACTGAATGTTTAATGAAATGGCTTGATATTAAACCTGTATTAATTCCTATTAAATCTAAAATTGAAACTAAAGAGCAAATCGAAGATTTTAAAGTGACTGGTTTAGAAGATATTACGAATTTTAGCGATGATATTATGGAAAAATCAGCGGAAGATATGTTTAAGGATGACATGGCAAAATCTAAAAAGGAACTTCTTGAAGATGGAGGTAATTTTATTAAACTTTGAATGTTTTTAAGTTTAAATTAAAACAGGGAACTTTTTATTTCTAGATACTCCAGAAGACGAATATAAGAAACCTGAACCTCCAACATATGTTAAATTGACTGTCTTATTATTAAAAAGATGTCTGCACTTTCTACCAGCAAAAAATAAAAATACAAAACTTTTTGCTTTGGAAATTTTAAAAAATGGCTTAGAAATTATCAGAGACTGGGAAGACGAATTACTTCCTATGGTCCATCAGATATGGTCTCCTTTAGTTAATCGTTTTAGTGATAAAGAACTAGTAATAGTTAATTACAGTTTCCAATTACTTATAACACTTGCACGTCTTTCAAAGTGGTTTGTAAGATCTAGGACAGTGAAGTAATTTTGAATAATTATTAAAGTACGAGATATTATTCTTAAAACTTTTCTAGAGAAGCATTTCCAAATATTTTAACACTTTTGGATAAACTGAGCAAGGAAAGTTATTTAAAAGATAAGGGATCTCCTTATCGTTACACACAAGCGTACAAACTTCAGCTTACTCTACTTGAAAATCTTGCCAGAATTGTTGTTGATCTAGAAATGATTGACAAAGATACCGAAAAAATAATTTTCAGTGTTTTGCCGTATTTAAGTGATAAGCAACCACTACCTTTACAGGTAAGAATTGAAAATGAAATATTAATTCTTTTTTTAAATAAACCTTTCTCTTTAAGGAACTGAGTGTAAAATTCTTTAAAGATTTAATTACATATGATAGCAAAATACTAACCAAAATTCTTGAAGAAGGAAATTTCTCAGAATCCGAGTATAGCAAAAATATGAATATCATAAAAACGCTATTGTAATAAAATGTTTATTACATCGAGGTTGTACATTCTGAATAAAAAACAATTGCACACTCGTTTTATTATTTTACAGACGAGACAAATTGAACTTAATTTTTTTTACAGACTTCGGGATCTACTACTTAATTTAAATCTGTTAAAATGATATTTATTCCCATTAAAAAAAAAACGGAATTACTTTATATTTATAACTGAATCGTATAAACCATTATGTACATTAATTATATTTCTATAAATGAAAAGGATGACATTGAAATAAACCTAATAATTCCTTAAGTTACATATTTATCTTGCCCAAATTATTGTAAATCTATAAGTTAAAAATTATATAAAACTCGGAATCTACACATTCGGCTGAACAGTCTTATCCTCACTTAATAAAACATTTTCACTAAAGTGGTTTAAACACTTAATAATGATGTAATAAAAATATTCTCCTGAACTTCGCTAGCAACTTACATCTAAAAGTAAAATTTCTAATGTAAAGGATACTTATAAAAAAAATAAGTATATATTTCGGTAAAACCCAAAGTATATTAACATGCTGTAGAAAATTTAACAACAAAGTATAAATTGTCCATAAATGAACAACAATAATTGTTGGATAAAATTTTTGGTTTTAAAAAATCAGAAAAGCTCTTGCACATATTTTTAAAATTTTCTTTTTTACTAAACGCGATATTCCAAATAACTATCCAATTAGTGTTGGAAAGATTTGAAATCTTAATAGAGGGGCAGTTTTTCGATGCAATAATATATGTAATTAACGGCAATGAATACTAACTATCTAGAAAATACAATTAGAAATCATATATCATAAATAGGTTAATAACATACATCAAATTAATATGATGAGAATTTGAACCTGAGTTTTTCTGCTAAATTATTGCATCAAAAACTGTTTATCATACACAGGATGGCCCGTTATAAAACGCCTTGTAATTAAGGGAAAATTAATACGCGTTGCAGTATATTAGTTTTCGGTGCTAACAGGTTCTCTTGCATGATGTATACGAATATGTTTGTTGTGATTCGATTTAGTGGTCGATGTTTTTCCACATACGTGACAAGCGTATGGCCTGGTGCCATTATGTACCCGCATATGATCTTTCAAATAATACGACCTATGAAACGTTTTGCCGCAAATGTTACACGAAAATGATTTCCCTAATAAATGTTCTTTCACATGACGCTGACAATTATATTTCCTTATAAACTGTGCACCGCAATGATTGCAAGTATATGGCCGGACGCTCTTGTGAGAATTCATATGTGCCACGTATTCTGACTCCCGAATAAAGGCCCCTCTGCATTGATCGCACTTGAATGGTTTCGAAGATCGAGCCGCGTGCGTCCACTTGTGTAGTTTTAAATTCCACTTCGTAGTGAAGTCTTTGTTGCAAACAGGACACGTAAACGACTTTTGACCACTGTGACTACGAATATGGGCATCAAGAGATGAACGGAGGTAGATCTTTTTACAAATGGGACATTCTACGTTCTCAGAACTGCGGTCCTTTTCAGGTACAAAGTGTTGGTTGTGCGCACGGCGCATGTGCCGTGTTAAACTAGCCGAATGCACGAACTTTTCTGAACAATACAAACAGGCTTTAGGTTTCATCTCGTGGATTTCTTTGTGCCACGCTAGTTTTTTTTTCGAGTGAACAACTTCGCCACAAAAACAAATGTAATCTCTTTTCACTCTGGTTGGTACGTTAAAATGGTGCTTGTTACGATGCTGGATAAGATTTGAATGCCTTTTGAAAGTCTCGTTGCATAAACGGCACCTTACTGGCGTTTCTCCTGTATGAATATTCCTATGTTCGCTACATTTTTGTTTCGTCAAGAACGATTTACCGCATATGTCACACTTGTAAGGACGTATTCCTAAATGCCGTTTCATGTGGAGTTGCATATTTTGCTTTCGGTAAAAACACTTGCCACATATTCGACACTCTAAAGGGTGGATCATGAGGTGTTTATGAAATTCTGACTCAGTCTGAAAGTTTTCTTCGCATACAGCACATTGTCGTTTTGATTCGACGTTCATATTTAAATTATGCTCTAGGGAACTGTGGCTCTTTAGCAGTTTAATTGATGGAAAAGTTCTATCACAAAGATGGCAGCTGACAAGTTCTGTTTTAATAAGTTTCACGTCTTCTTCTTTGATTGGAGGAGACTGCAACACATCTGATTCTTCTTTATACTCTTCTTCATCCTGTTGCTGTTGGCTTCTAATTTTGTTGGTAAAAACATTATCGAAATTATTTTCAGTAGTTGTAGGCTTTGATTTAATAATAAGCTTCTTTGTTTTCTTTGTGCCTATTTTAGCTCCTACTACATTAACTGTGTTAGTGATTGCAACGGCTTCTTTTGATGACTTGTTATCGTTTCTCTCATTCTCTCCTTTGTGTTTCAATCTGTGATGCAAGCGACGTTCTTTGAGACAATCGAAAGCATCTCCGCATATAGAACATTTGAAGTTTTTGGGTGGTGCAATTACACTAATCACGGTTGGTGAGTCATCATTTTCATCAGGTCTACAATCTATACCAGCAATATTTCTACTTTGCAAAGGAGGTACATCTGTAAAAGATCCGTCAGAAGCGTCCCACGATTCTTGTAAAGTATCGTAAGATGCCGATATTCTTGAGTTTCCTTCATAGTTAAGGCGACCCCAAACGGTATCACTGGCCGCTCCATTACTCTCAGGGCCTGAAAGCTCACCCCGAGCAGGCATGTGCTCGTCAGCTCTTATGCTGACATTTTCACTGGCCTGCGATATACTTTCTTCGCCTAAATGCTCAATAATTCTTTCCGAATTATTATTATCCATACATCCAATGTTCATTATAATTCTCTTGTCATCTTGATGAATATTTTCGAAATCTTCTACACGGGATATAAACTGACCGCTCGTAAAGTCGGGAGGTAAAATAAGATTAATGTTATCCAAGCTACTTACGTTTCCTGCTTCATTTTCTCCAAAAGCATTCGATATCGTAAATACAGGATCTTCAAGATTGTAAGAGTTGTTAATCTCTACACAATTAGATGTGTTGAGAGCCCCTTCCCTATTGTAGTAATCAGATGATGGGCAATTACTTTTCTGAGTGATGATAACATCAGGTTGTATTGCTTCACCCCCAAACAAATCAACTGCTTCCAAAGGAACATTTGCATCCCCATCTTTTTCATCTTTTTGTTCCTCTTCAAACCTTTCTAAGTTTTTTTGACTGCAGTCACCATTATTGTTATCAACTGTTTCATTAGTCAGAAATGGCTCATCATCATCATTTTTAACTGGATCTTCTTTTTTACAATTATCTTCCACATTACACTCATCTTTAGTTGTATCCACTTGAGAGTCTGGAGAATAAACAGGAGACATTGAAGCTTGACTTCTGTAATCTTCATGACAACTAGTTACTGGAGACATAATGATACTATTTATACTAGACCGTGAACAAGGTCTTACAACGGTTTCATTACAACTAGGTTTATCATTATCAATTAAAATGTAGCCATCTCTTTCATCATAGGAGTTAGCAGGGGCTTCAATAGCTGGTGGTAGTATAGGTGGATGCATTGGAGGAACATGCATGTGTTGTGAAATAGGCACAGGCTTAGGAAGTAATGGAGGCATAGAAGGTCCTGACGACATTATAACTTGCTGTTGTTGATACACATAAGGGGAGCATACCATTTGAGGCATTTGAGCCATTGGAGGCAATTGTGCCATTTGAGGACTAAATACTGTTGGGATAGTAATGTACTGAGGAGCCATTGGGTTGCCATTTAAAACAGTTTGCGTTGATTGCTGACTAGACGTACTCATAAATTGTTGATAAATAAAGGAATGATTCCCAGATACAACACCAAAATTTTGTGTTGGATCAGGTTTTTGTTGAACAGGTTCATCTAAGAATGTTTGTGTACCATTGCTCTCATGATTGGCAACAATGTTGTTGTTTGGTACATTCTCATTGGTATTAATAATAGCTAAGTCTCTACATCCTGTACTTTGATTTAATGATATTCGTACCAAAGCCTCAATGACTTTTTGTTTTGGATGACTTCCTAAATGGGAAGTCAAAGTCATTCCTGGCCTCAGGAACAAGGTACACACAGGACATACAATGTTTCCGCTGCTCATTTTAGCTGTGGGTGGCATCTAATTTACGTAAAAATGTCAAATTTCTATCATAAAATGTCCTAGTAAGTTTGAATATGGTGTGTGGGTATCCATTTGGTTATTGATCTGTTGAAGGATAAAATCAATGATTACACTCTAAAAATAAGAAATAAAGACGATATCAGCACAGTATATTGTTGAGCACGAAATACATAATTACTTTTTTTTTTCAATGATTGCCCGTCACAAAGAATAAACATATTCCTTATTACACTTTTTTTATCATAATTTCTCACGAGTATCTAAAGGTTGTAATTGACATGGAAAGAGAAATCTTAATGGGTACTTACCATTTTATCATTTTAATGTTACGAGAAAACAATTACAAGCTATGTTTTAACTAAATCTATGAGAAAATTAACATTTTTGTTATAAATAAAAATTTTTGTTGAACACGAATGACAGCAACCTACGCACTACCAACATTAAGAATACTAATAACCCACTTTCATTATTTTTATGAAACCCAATTTCCCCGCTACGAAGGTCACTCTGATTACGGTTTTCAGCATTTTACCATTAGTATTATTTTCTAGTGTGTAAATCAGGCACGTTTATAAATACGTCGTATTCTTAAACTTTACTAATAATTTCTACATCTTTTTCTGAATGTGATCCTAGTATAATTAGGTGTTCATTAGATTTGTTTTGTTATGTACTTGTTTATTTTAAGTAATAATTTAATACATTTAAATTGTTTTTATTCACTCTGTCAATTACGCATGCGCAGACGAGATGAAAATGTAGTAGTTAAATAGTACTGGAAACTATTTTAAAAATTACAACATTATTTGCAATAAATAATGATATAATTGCGTTTATTATACGTAGTCATGAAATACAAATTTCGCGCAATCAACTAGCACCAATTAAACTATGATACCTCAAATTGTTTTTGAATAAATAGAAATTGAATTTTTTCCAGCACTCGGACAAATGTTTTTCTTCAAAAGAAAATTAATAGACGCTAAATTACATTACGAATATATGAGCAAAGATTTTATTTACGTTTTGTATTTAACAACTGATATTACCAAAATTGATACGCAGTAATTCATTGCTGTTTGTGCTTTGATTCCCTTGTTTGCGCATGCATATTATCCGTATTTATTATTGTCATAGGTTCGTCACATAAAACATTGCAAGACTGCTGGAAGTATCAAATAAAAAAAAATACACACACTTCGTGAGTGTTGTCTGTCAGACCTTAAAAAGAGTCTAAAGAGACCATTAATTTCATGAAGGTATTACCACTTGCTAAGTCCATTCTCTATGCCAATGTCTATGAAATAATACTGAAAGTTATCAACGTCCATTGATATACTGTATTATAGAGCTACAGTCAATATACGGATTTAATTGTGGCTGTGTCTAAATATAGGTCGAGTAGAGACGGTAAACACACAAGACTTATATGACACTAGAGGTAACCAATTATAAGTGGGGTTGTAATATTCTAACATAAGATACAAGAATACGTCACGTCACTGGCAAATTGTAATTATATTGTTAAAAATCATTTAAAAGTAAAGAGACATGTATGATATAAATATATTAAATGTAGCAGGTAAGGGGTTTAACATATGTATATTCTTTGCTAAAAAGTAATTTTCAGAGGCTTGTGAACTATTTCAAAAGTGGAGAGAAAATAACGAAAGAAACAGCGAGGATGTCATATATATTTGGAAGGCCGTTTTGGAGTACAATTTAACAAAATTAGGGAACGATAGTACGTATAAGTTTGTTAGGTTTGAATACCCTTCATTTACTTTGATCACTTGCTGTTTTCAGAGTATTCTATACTAGAGCAAGTGTGCATAGCAGCATTGGATTGTTACCGTATTGATGTGGTTGACTTCTGCATTAAACAGTTATCATATCAGTTCCCTAATAGTACAAGAGTAAAGAAACTATATGCTATGAGATTAGAAGCACAAGAACAATACGATGATGCCTTGAGAGTGCTTGATTTAATAATTAAATCAGATGATACCAATAGTGAGTCCAGAAAGAGAAAAATTGCAATTTTGAAAGCACAACGAAAGAATACTGAAGCTATAAAAGAATTAACAGAATATTTAAAAGTGTAAGTGTATGCAAATCGATGGTTTTTAAACAGATAGTTTTCAATAAGTCGGTATATTCAGGCGTTTGACAGTAAAATATTTTATAGGATTATGACTCAATGTTTCAGGAGTTACTTTAAATTGATCTTTGTCAGAGAAACTGCTGTGTTGCTATTGAAACATTGAAGAACATAATTTTTTAAGAGGATGCTCAAAAATATAAATAGAAACATTTCATTGTAAAGTTTTTAAATATGTTCTTTATTGTAATTCAGGTTTATGGCAGATACTGAGGCATGGCAGGAATTAAGTGAGTTATACATATCAGAACAAGACTTTAACAAAGCTGCATTTTGTTTAGAAGAGCTAATTTTACACAATCCTCATAATCATTTACTGCATCAAAGATATGCTGACATTCGATATACTCAAGGTGGTTTTGACAATTTAGAATTAGCAAGGGCCTATTACTGTCAGGCCTTACGGCTAAATTCTAATAATATCAGAGCCCTGTATGGGTTATTTCTGGTAAATATTTAATTTTTATTTTGTTTAATAACACATTTTTTGTAAATTTTAATTTTTAGTCAGCTAGTAACATTTCTGTATCTTCAAAGTGTGCTGCTCAGAAAAAGAAAGAGAACAGCAAAATAGCAGAATGGGCAATGACAGAAATAAATAAAAAATACACTTCAGTGAAAAATAAGAATCTAAATATTGAAGAATGCCTTGCAGCTTTACAAATTAGTTAATTGTTAAAATAATTATTTATATACCTATCATTTAAGTAAGTAATTGTAGTTTACTTGGTGTAAAATTGTACATAAATAGACAGTTGTTGCAGATAAATTCCGACAAAACAGAGTTGTGTAAGTAAATTAAAAAACATTAATACGTAAAATTCCAATTTAGAAGTACATAATGAAGTAGACTATTTGATAATTTGTGTGGTAGGGAAAATAATAAAAGTGTTCTTTTTATACAGAAATTGAATAAAGGTGTCATGTAATTGTAATTGTGAATAAAAGTATTTGATTAAGAATTTTTTATACCTATCATTTAAGTAAGTAATTGTAGTTTACTTGGTGTAAAATTGTACATAAATAGACAGTTGTTGCAGATAAATTCCGACAAAACAGAGTTGTGTAAGTAAATTAAAAAACATTAATACGTAAAATTCCAATTTAGAAGTACATAATGAAGTAGACTATTTGATAATTTGTGTGGTAGGGAAAATAATAAAAGTGTTCTTTTTATACAGAAATTGAATAAAGGTGTCATGTAATTGTAATTGTGAATAAAAGTATTTGATTAAGAATTTTTTATAATTATTTCTCAATGAAAATGTATTAAACACTGCATTTGATCATTAAGTAAATTAATAAATGTACCTTCATTGTAATAGCCACAAAACTCGCTCTATTTCATGTAAAAAATGGGTATTTTTTAATAGAAAATGTTAAATAGCATATTTATAATTGTTTATATAAATTTGTTGTAAATTTATACATTATTTATTGTATAATGAAAAGTCAAATAAAGACATTTCCGTTGTAATAAAGTTTCTTTATTTCAACAAAAATTTAGGAAAGGGAAATAATTGAA